GGAGGGGGCATAAACGCGCCCCCGCCGCGGCCGCCGCTCATCACGGGTGAGGTACGACGATCGGGGGACGGCTGGGAACGGGACCGCGACCGCGATGCTGTGCGGGCGCTGGGCGACTGGGCAAATTGTTGGATTCTTCCGAAGATGGAAGATCGCCCTGCCTGGGTGGGGAAGAATAATCTTCCCCTTTCCTTCAGTCACCTAAGCGCCAGTTCCAGGTCGAAAGGTGGGAAGGGAAGGGAAGTCTGAGAGGAATTTCGTAACATTTTGCATAGGTCAATAGGAGTGGCGCCGTGGAGCCTCTGATCCCCGGGGAACAGGTGGACTATTCAGCAGGTGTGCCTTTTTCGGCGGGGGGTGGGGGGGTAGCAGCGTGTTACTTGTTTGATCTTGGAAATCTGCTCTTCCTTCAGCCCGGCGAGGCTCCCTTCCAAACTCTTGATCTCGTCCTCCACGACTGGAACTGTGCCGGGTCACCAAGTGATCCCAGGCCATCTTGGGCTGCACTTTTTTTAATTAGTTCTAGCTGGCTTGGCCAGTAGCGAGGGATGATGGGAGAGGCCATCCAAACCATTATCCGGAAAGACTCTTTCTGACCTGTGAAATCCAACTAATTGGAGAGCACAAATGGCATAAACAGTAGCTGTAGTGTTTATGTGCAGCTTTGCAGTGCTCCAAGATTTCTGTGGGTTTGATTTCAGTAACGGCAACCAGATTGTAAAATAAATCAAACCTGTTATATCCATCTTGGACTTACAGTGGCTTGTTTGCTAAGTGATACTGGTGTTTGTTCTCTTGTCCTTTGATTCAGGAAACATAGCTGATTTTCTCCACCCACTTTTCTTGGGCAGGAGAGTGTTTTCTTTTATTATTTTGAAAATATATTTATATTATTTTACTGTTACAATCATACTAATTACCCTTCATAACATACTCAATGGCTATTATACAAAGCATCTAATTTATGCAAATTGCAAGGGAGAAAGCGACAGATTATCCCGTATGAAACATGAGGTATGTATGGACTCATGCAGAAAAAAAAAATTCCGAAGTTGAATTTTCTGAAGGATAGTTAATAAATATGTTTCATATTGTGCAGCTTATAAAATACCCTGTTGAAACACTGCAATTTGGGTGAACCTATTATTGCTGCTACATATGTCTTGCAAGTTTGCAGCCATGATGATTGAGACTAAAGTAATAGTTTGAGTAGTACATTTTTATTTTAAAAAATATTAGCACTTAACAATTTCAGAGATTTATAGCTGGTATCTCCCAGCATTAAAATGATAATCGGACAATAGTCAATTAACTGCTTATCTTCATACAAGCAAGTTGGGTTTTCACATGAGTTGAAAACATGAATGAATGTATGTATGTATGTACTGCCAGAACCAAGGAAAGCAGTTTGTCCAATTGAAAAATCCTATAACTATCTTATTTTCAGTGTACTGTTAGACCTTGAGCGTGATTTTGTTTTCCTAAAATACCATTTAATAGTTAAATGAAGTGATGTATCACATTCCTTTGATTCAGCAACAGATTTTGTGTATTTTATAAGTTATTTGACAAGCAGATCATACCTATATACATTCTAATGCATGTTGCATTTATTGAGATGCAACCTATTTTATTTATTTATTTAGAATACTTGTATAGCCGCCCATCTTAAAGCCAAACTCTGGATGCCTTACAACTGAAAAAAATAAAACAATGTATACAACAATAAAAACAAAAGAAATGCAGATCTAACATTCCCTTCCCACTCTAACCTCACCCTATCTCAACACTTGGGAGGAAAGCCAGGTCTTAACCACTTTCTTGAGGGTTAAATGGATGGGGGCCTGTGGGATCTCCGTTCCATAAGGCAGAGGCTGCAATAGAGAAGACATTAGGTCCAAAGATGGCGGTGTTTAAGGGAAGGGACCTGGAGTGTGCCCACCCTATCTTCTCTGGTGGCACAGGCAGATAACCTCAGGGTGAGGCAGTTATGCAAATAACCTGGTCCTGTGCCATGTAGGGCTTAAAAGGTGCTAATTAGCACCTTGAATTGCACCCCGAAGGAAACTCGGAGCCAGCGCAGCTCATGCAACCAGGGTGTAATATGGGTGAACCTAGTCCCATGTAAAGTTCATTGCAGTAATCCAAAGGGAGATGACCAAGGCATGAGTGACCATGAGCAAGTTCAGGAAAGGGCGCAAGTGGTGCACAAGAAAAATCTGTGCAAAAGCCCCCTAGCCACAGCTGCCACATATTACTTTTATAGTCATAAGGTGAAATCCAATGATCCTCTAGTCACACAATAAACTCTTCCCCTCTTCTCTTTTTCCAGTACTGCCTCTTCAGTCTCTCAGATCTGCTCTGGAGAATTTCATTAGAGTGAATATTTAAATAAATAAATAAATAAATAAATAAATATTAAAAGTTTTAAAGAGAACTTAAAAACGAACATAAACTAAAACAGAAATAAAGAAAACAAAAAGAAAAGTGCAGGAAAAAAGATAAAAAGGAATAGAAACAAGAAGCTTTTGATTTTCTTTGCAACAAATATAAGTATGTTTACAAAATTATCTCTTACTCTATGATTACAAAAAACTCACTTTTTTCTATTATCCAATTTTTTTTGTCGTCATCAAAACCACAAATCATAAGTGCATTTTTTTCTGCTTCATGTGAAATGCCTGTAAGGGGTTTCCAGTCAGCCATAAATGTAGATACTGTTTTTCTCTAATCAAAGAAGTCAAGCCATCTCTGCAAGCTCCTTCATCTTCACCAACCGTTCCTCTATTGCGGGTAGTATCGAACTTTTCCACTTTTGAGCCTAAGTAATCTCACTACAGTTTTCATATATATGAACAAAGTTCCATGGGTTTTTTTTGGCTGGCTGTCCATTAATCCCAAAAGAAAAATCTCTGGTTTCAATTGTACATCAATCTTTAAAATCTTCTGAATTAATGTATTTATTTGTATCCAAATGTTTTTGGCTTTTTTATATGTCTACCATACATGATAAAATGTCCCTTCTTGCTGTTCACATTTCCAGCAAAGATTCAAAGCACCTTTATACATTCTAGACAATTTCTTTGGTGACAAATACCAACAAAACATCATTTTATAAAAATTCTCTTTAAGACTAGAACATAATGTAAATTTTAATCCTTTCAACCACATATTTTCCCATTGATCCATTTGTATATTGTAACCAACAATTTTTAGCCCATTTTATCATACATTCTTTCACTTGTTCTTATGTCTCATATTTCAACAAAAGATTATATGTTTTAGCAATAATATGTTCATCATTTGTACATAGTTCTATTTCAAACTCAGTCTTGCATTGTTCAAAACCATAACATCTTTTATCCACTTTAAACCTTTCTGGTAATTGTACATAAGAAAACCACTGACAACCATATCCTCTGTTATCAAATCTTCTCTTGATTTTATTTTACAATCCCCTTGAGAAAATTTTAGTACATCACGATAAGTTAACGTCTATAAAATGCTTCTTGTGCTGAAAGCCATAAAGGTGTTTTCAGGCACATCCTAAATTTATATTTATTCCATACTCTAAGAATGGCCCTTCTGACAGTGATTTTTGAAATGTACATTAACCTTAGCTTTATCATACCATAAATATCCATGCCACCCAAATCTCAGATCATGTCTTCTAACTCCAATAACCTTCTATTTCTTAACAACACCCACTCTTTCATCCAAGCTAAGCCACAGGCTGCAATATATAATTTCAAATCTGGTAGACCCAATCCTCCTCTTTCCTTTTCACATGACAGTTAAACATCACAGTCTGATTCTTTACCTTATCTTTTGTTGTGTAGATTCTGCCAATTAAATTCATGCTTTAAGAATAAACAAGTATTCCCACCCTGGACTGGTCTCTTTAGCTTAGTGAAATTTACACCAAAGTACTTTCGTCAAAAGTAAAAATGATAAAAATAGAAAAAAAGACTGTCCCCTTGTCTGTTTTAAAACTTACATCTTCTCTTAATTAAGCTTTTTGCAAAGAATTTTTAGATCTTTAAATCATCGTCTCTTTTTCTTGTTTTTTTGTAATCTTGAAAGAAGGTTTAACTCACTGCAAGGAGTCTTCTCTTTGCTTCAAAGAAAATCTCTCTTCATCTGTAAATTAATTACTTCCCAAAGTAATTCACAGTGATTCCAGGCAGCTTACAGAAATCAGATCCCAATGCAAACCCCACTACACCCTCCACAGTCAAACTAGCCATTTGATGGGCTCTGTTTTTGTGAACATATATATTTGGAAGTGTTTTGAAATAAATGTTTTAACTTGGTTAATGATATATAATTATTTTTCTCCAAATATGAATTGTATACTGCAGAAAAATTCAAATATTAGCTTTGATATTAACTTCTTATCCCATGTACAGGTAGTCCCCAGGTTAAGAACACCTGGTTTATGGATGATTCATAGTTAAGGACAAAGCCTATTGTAGCAAAACTCAAGTTAAATACACAATGATTCGAGTTCATTACACAATAATACAGTATTATACAATAATACTGTTCCAACTTACATAAACATTCGATTTAAGGACAGACCTTGGGAATGGAACCCGTTCTTAAACTGGGGGCTTACCCTTTCACTCACAGTATATAGCACAGTGTTTGGCAATCATAATTACTGGATTTTGTAGGAGGTAGGATTATGTTGCAAGGACAGATAGACTTCTGAGCCTTTGTTGTACTGAGATGAGTGATATTATTCAACTAAAAAAATATTTGAGTCATAGTATATCCTTTCCAAAGGTACTGGGAAGCTAGATGAAAATTAAGGAAAGACTATATGCAGTATAATAGTATTTAGAACAGGGATAGAAAAACTTCATTCTTCCAGATGTTACTGAATTAAGCTCCCATCATCTACCAGCTAACAAGTTTTGGAAGATCGTAGTTCCTTCATTGCAGATAGAGAGAATGTCTGGTTGAATTCTTCAAATGTTACATTTTGAAGGTTTCTTACACACATAACTTACCACCAAGGAAAGATATATTAGCTAAACCTCTGATAAAGCTATTTCAGTAAAGGGGAGATAATATTCCTTCACAAGGAAATGGATTGAAGCCAAACATAAATGCTCCCTTAAGTCAAGATTATTTTCAGGTGACTACAGCAATGGCCATCTGGAATGTGGAATCGTTCATCTTTTATTCTTTTGGTAGTTTCTCCCAAATGAATATCATGAGTCTTGACTAATGCAGAAGACTTAGAACTTTACTTGTTTGCTACTATAGCTTTGCTACTGTTGTATAAAATCATGAGACTGAATTTTGCAGTGAAATAATAAAAATAATAAAGATTTTTTTTACGATAATAGAAAGAAAGCAGCATTCAGTCTTACTATTCTGACATAGGACATGTCATTCAGAGCAAGTCAATGTATTACTTGGTTACATAACTTTTGTACTTCGATTCCTATCAGTAATTAACAGAGAATAAATGTGGAAAACCAAACATTTTGTATTTTTATTTATTTACAAATGAGAGTTACAAGACAGGCAGAAAACAGAAATGAATTTGGTCAATTTGGATATATTTGCAAAACGTCATTTTGTTCAAGCGTAGGATTATGAGCGATTGTCAGACTTCCCTTTTAGCAGTGTGGATTGAAAACAGTTAAGCCAAAGAACAAGTGTTTTAGAGCTTTGTTTAGTAATAGTTATTAGAAAGAAGGTTAAGGTTTAGCACAAGAATTCCAGTGAGTTCTCTGCTTTCAAATAAGAAACCTATACATAGGCAGTATAAGGTGGCAAAATTCTGGTCCACTTTCTCATTCTCTTTTGCTGCAAAGGGGAGGAGGCTTATCTCTTTTTGAAGACACGGGTGTCTGCCTCTGTCAGTTCTTTTCGCAATTGTTCCTAGGCTTCTTATCAGTGTGAGAAATTACTCTCTCAGCTCTGTCTTTTCAACACAGTGAAAGCACATGCAGCTCCCCAGTGTCAAAGAAGAGATCTGCTCTGATCTTGCATGATGATTTGAGCAGAATCTGGGGAAAATACAGTAGGTAAAGAAGTTTCACCTGTTTGTCACCTTTCTCCATGATACGGAGAAAGAGCAATGAAAGCAGAAAAAGTAGCCAGACAGGATATTTTGAAGCGTAGCTTCTTATGAAATCAAACTTCTGGAGGGGCTGTGAAAAGAACTTAGCCATCAGACTGCTATCTGAAGAGTTAACTTAGAAGTCATTTCCTCATGATAGAGAATGATGAGATCTGTTGTGAGAACTTAGAAGTCTTCTTAGCTCCGGTTCTCCTGTCTTAATAGTACCTTCTCTATCTATGGTATCTTTTGGGAATACCTCCTTATAGGAAGCTGAATTATTTACTCTGACCCAGATCCAGGCAAAAGCTTCTACTATTAAACCCTTGGATGAGCTCTTGTCTTTCATCAGAACATAGGCATTATACATCTGTTTGGCATCTTTGAGCTTCTTTTCTTAGGGCCTGCCCAAGACACTTGTATGCATCATACAATATAGTTTTCGGTAAAAAATAGTCAGTATAAGATCAATTATATTAGTGATAGGTTAAAAAAAATATTTTTTTGCTATGTTATGTCTTTTTTAATTATTGGTTTGAATAACAATATAATTATTCAGTACTCATTTGGCAATCATTTACTTGTCTAATTCTAAAATGCATCATTTAGCCAGTAAGTGGATTTAAAGGGATGAATGTGACTGTTGTGCCAAATGTAGCATAAGCAGGTTAGGAAGTACATAGGCTCAAGATCTGAATTAATATCTAACCCACCCATACATGTGTTAAATGTTCATGTTTGTATTTAAAAGAAAGAAGATAACAGTTGAAAGGGTAAGCATCATTTTATGAGTAGGTGTGAGCTTTTTGCACGCAAGACGGGTACCCATTTTTTAAAAAAGAAGCATTATTTTGGAATTTTTACTTTTGGAAAGGTCCATAATGGCCCCTTTTTGGAGAAAGACCCTCAAGTAGCTACAGCTTGACTGAAGAATAATAGAGTAAGACTATGTAACTCTTACTTTTGGCCAACAGCTTCACATGGCCTTTGAGTTGTTTGCCAGGAAGCTGTGCTGCAAAGAATAAGTGGGGCCAGAATAAATCGGTGGGGAAGGCTAGGAGGAAACTAAACTTGATTTCACTTAAACATTAAATTAACTACAGTTAATTTGATTATTCTCTATACATGTAATATATGTGTACACTTTTGAAAGAGCTCAGGGGATTGTACCAAAGGAGTTTGAGGGCCGCACGCATCCAGAGATGCCAGATTTTGCACTTTTGTAATGAGGAATTTGCTCCTGTTTGCAAGTTAAATGCATATTATAGGCTACATTGCAAGAAAAGCAATGAGCAGAAGCTAATATAATGCATCATTTAAAGTATTGGATTTCAGTTTGATGTTTGCTGATCATGTTGCAAGAAAGTTGAAGGGATGAGGCATCCAGTTAGGATTTAATTAACCACTATTTTTCATCTATAATTTAATGGATTTATTTTAATTCTGTCTGTCCTTTCAAAAAGGTATTGGGCATGATCCAATCAAATATAGCAGCAAATACTTCTGTAGAAAAATCAATCATATTTGATCATAGCTCAACACGTGGAAGTCAGGAAAACAGCTAGTCTGATATTGCACAGTTTTGGAAATACAGCAAGAAACACCTTATGCTATGTATAAACTGCCTTTGTAGATATAGCCTATGAAGGTGTGAGGATGGTGAAAAAATCAAAATAACATGAAATCATTCATTCTAGCTGGTTTGTTCCCTTCGCTGATAATTTCTTAACTTCGTTTTGGCTGCATTTGAAATATACAAGAAACATGATTTCTGATTAGCTATCTATGCAGTCAGTCACACTCATTTTGCTTTTCTGCAGGGTTTCCTATGGCCACCACTGGCTTTTTAAAGGCTTCTTGTGTTGTATGTGTGCACCTTCTGTTTTCTTTAAAATGTAATTGTATTGTCTAACAATTTCTTCCTGCCATCCGCCTGTGGAATGAACCTAAAATAAGCCATGCGTACAATGCTAATTTGGTGCTTTGTCCCATCAGGCTTCTGTCGTGAACACTACAAGCAGGGATTGCTATTATGTTCTTTTATGTAATGTTAATCTTATTTCTTTGACTTGTGGGTTCTTGTCTTTGTCATTAAAATCCTGATGTATTATTTTAGCTGTTGTTTGGTAAAATTAAACATCAAATCGTATAGGTGGCGTGGACACTTCTGATAACTTTTTTTGTAGTGCAGTAAAGGAATAAAGTTAGAATAGGTTCCCTATAATTTATTAAGACGAGATATTTGTATACATTAATGGGGAGTTTGGCGTAATATATTTGTCTGCTAGAATGTTGCTTTTGCTTCTGCTAAATATTTGTGTTTTAGAAGTGCATATTCATATGGCCCCCATCTTGCCTATGTTCAACCATTCTTTAAAAACCTGGCTGTTCCCCCAGCTTTGATTAAGATGGTTGCATGGGCCACTTCAAGCTGAATGGAGTTATGGAAAGACGGGTTTATTTCTTTGGACAGTTGTTTTATGTTTGTTTATTTTTTATGGAATTGTTCTTTTAACTCTGTGAAGCCTCCCGAAGTCATTTAGAGTTGGGCAGCCTAGAAATTTATTAAATAAATAATGATAAAACAAAATCAGTATTATCTATATTTGAATCAAATAAAGTAAATACGTATGATGACTAAAAGTTTGTCAGTTTCCAGATATGTAAAAATTACTGTAAATTGGGGTGTATGTAATCATTGCAACATCTACATTTTTTCATACAGGCATGCAACAGATAAATTACATTTTTTGAAAGTGGCCTGCTTAATATTCTGATTGCATCTTGATTTCTCAAAAGTACTTTGCTTTTTAGAATAGGGTCCCCAGATATTACTGAATTACAATTCTTAGGAACTCTCAGTTGCCATGCTGTTGACACTACTGAAAACGGTAGTTTGGAAATATTTGAAGGGACATGGGGTCTCCATTCCTGGTTTAGGAAGAAGGTAATCTCAGTCTAATTCACATAAATGATATTAAAATATGTTGACCTAATCTTATTAAAATAAATTATAGACTGATACCCTCATCCAGTGAAAATTAAAGAGAATTTCTATGCAAATGGAGCTAATTTTAGCATTGGTTTTACCAGCTAAGTGTACCTAATTTTATTTAGGTTATAAACAGTCTTTCTTTGCTATATAATTTGAAACTATGTAATTCTGTTTTTATTTCTCTCAAATAGCATTGGGAAATATTTTTAGAGTTGTGGTTTCAGGCAGAGATGGATTGTCATTTAAATTATACAGGAACAGTAACCCTACTGAAGGTTATAATATCAGGAGAGAATAAAACAAAATTAGCTAATATGTATTTAACCCTAAAAAGATCCTCTGTCTAGTGTGTGTGCATACCACTTCAAAATGATATATGTTTTTGCTTTATTTGATAAATAAGTTCAGGAATTTGTTCTTTTAATTTTGTAAAGTACTCTGTAAGAAAGAATAAAACTAAAATAACTTATTATTTGCAGAAAGAAAAATGGAAAAAATTTACCCAGCAATGAGGTGAGTTTTGCTACAGTTACTCTATCAAATATAGATCAGATGGTTGCTGAAATTCCATGAAATTATGTTGTGTGTAATAATATGCTAAGTACAATAAAGAATAGGTTAGAAGAGTGTGGATTACCTATATTGTCTCTTATCCAGTGAGAAAGTTGAGTACCTATTTAGGTGATGTATATTATATAGTCCCATATATGGAATTCCACTGAATTGGGGCTTATTTCCAAGCAAATAAATAAATAAATTATTGTGACATAATAGCATTAAGTCATTTGAAATACTGTTCCTACTATTTTTTTGTTTGTTTGTAGCTTCATTTAGAAACTGAAATATTATAATATGTTTACTTTTTTACTGTTATTTTTACAGTATGGACAAGCACCCACAAAACATCAAATTGTGCTATGGCTCCACAGAGCAAATTGTCATGAAGTAAAAATCAAATAATTATTATAACAGAGGAGACTAAACACAAAACAATAAAATAAAAGCAGAACAAATTAACTCTGGAACATCCTTTTACAAAATTGTGCAGGAGCAAAAGAATCTAGCCAAAGAAAAAATGACCCATCTTTTGACATTGGCTAATAAAGAAATAAAATACCAGTCGATAGGCCTTTCAGGGAATTGATTAAAAATTGGAGTAATAAATACTAAGTGTGCTGTGTGGTAGAAGCTGTAGAACATTATATGATTTAATAATTCTACAGCTTCCATCCACTAGAATAAATTTTAAAAAAAACTTTATATCGGCTAATGTTACTAAAAGCAAGATGATAACTGGGATTTTTATATTGGCCAACGTGAAATGTTTTAAACAATGCAGCTTTCTTTTAAGATGGTATCTTTCTGTTTTGCAGTATTTACGTCAGAGTGGACTCTAGTATTGCTTATGTGTGGGCTGTTTTTAATAAGTATGTTTCTTAAAGTGTTTTATAATAGTTTGTGGCCAAAAGATATCAACAGTTAATATATTTTCTTTAAATCTATACTATATAGGTTGTAAATCTTAAGAACTGGACACACATGTGGATGAATGAGAAGTAGATACTTAATAGGGATGTGGAAAACATTTGAAAGAAGTACTTTTCAAAGGAGTTAAGTGCAAATGAAGCTCCTCTGTTTGAAGGATTAAAGCAGCTGCATTTTTTGCAAAGCTTGTACAACTACTTTGAGGGCTGTCTTTGTCTGGGCCTGTATCTGATGGCTGCGCTTGCATGCAGACATACAGGAGACAGCCTTTGAAGCAGCCCCATGAGCCTGGCAAAGGAGGCGACTGCTTTAATGTTTCAAAGACAGGGGCTTCATTCACATTTTACAAAACACCTCTTTAGGATTCTTCCATTGTGCTAGTGCTTAAAAATAAGCCTTACTGTAAAATCAGAACTACGTCAACCTAAATGAATTTCATTGTTTTCAGTGCTTCACTGTATTTACCTATCTATTCTGCATCACTGTAAAATATCCTATCAGATGGTAATCAATTTCACATGTACGGCTAAGATATATAAGGTAATGTTTTTATCACTGAGTATAATCCAGGAGAAAGAGAGATGTTTTGCCTTCTCTAATTTCACTTGGAAATAACAGGAAAACTGCTTGCAAATAAGAACCCAATTTGCTGTGGGAGGTAGAAGGACAGTCACATACTACTAGCTTCAGCTCCCAATTCTGTCTTTTTGGTCTATCTTGGCTGGCAGGATTTACAGCCTACCTATTTGATTCATTCAGGAATAAGCGTTGATAAAATAAAGATATAGCAGTAATATAATGAAGAAAATGGCAAACCTTGTTTCTTTTGCAAAGCAAAAGCATATGTATTATTTGATAGATCTAGGATTCTGAGAGTAATTCACATGAAATTGTTCAGCTTTGTTGAAATAGTTAAGAAAGACCTATTTGGATGAGACCATTTTCTCATGTATTTTTTTAATATGCAGAAAGAAGTCAAGAAAGAGCGAGCTGTCGTGGATAGAGTATTTTTTGCAAGAATTTGTCAAATCCTGAAAATTATGGTCCCTAGGACATTTTGTAAAGAGGTAAGCTTCAAATAGAGAATAATCAGTCTAATATTTCTCTTATGAAACCATACTAACCTGTTGTCTTTCAGATGTATTTTGGCTGTAACTTCCAGAATGCCCAGTCAACAGGAAGGCTGTTCATTTCAGTCATTAAAAGACTGAAAATTTAGTAATTTGCCACTGCCATTTATGCCAAATGGGTTCCTGAACATTTTTATGGTTGCCAGTGTTAAACCTAGACTTAATAGTACAATATTTGGGTGTGTGGTTATTCGTATTAACTTGAATTAGTTAAATATTGAAAACCATATAATTTGATTGTTGTGGATGTTCTCCAATGAATCCAATGCGGTGATCAGGAATACCAGGTCTGCTGTCAGCATTAAGTCTCATCACTATGGAAGAATGCAGTGGGTATGAATAAATGCTACATACATCAATGTGGTCCTAGGATTTTCCTTTAGACTGGCATTCTTTTTAACAAAGTTTGTAACTTTTTCAGATTTAATTTTATAGATTGCAGATTTGCAAACCTGTTTGTTAAAAATACAAATTGGGTCCCAAAGGTGGACTGTTGTTTCTGTTTTTACAAACACAAGTAGTGTTAGAAGTGGGAGTAATCTACCATGCTTTGCTTGTTTCAGCACTATATGCTATATTAATACGCTGCATTAAATTTCTGCAAGTCAGCCGTCTGAGAGACATAATTAAAGTATAACGATCACATTAGGACTAGAAATCAGCTTATCCTGAAAAAACTAATGCATGCAAATAAGATTTTATTAAAAAAAAAGTGTGCAATCTCTGCAAAGATCCAGTTTCAAGCGTTTTTAACCATGACCATTTAGATATGAATTGAAAACTAGTGAAGACAGTACAGTGTTAAACATGCTGTATAAGAAGACTCCAGTAATAGGAATTTTCTAATATAAAACAGGAATTGGAACTCATTTTGGACTCTGCTTGTATTTGTTCTCTTTTTTTGCTTTGCATTTATGCTAAGAAGAAATGTAGAAGCTATTATTTACTTGAATTTTATAACAGTAAATATAAAAAGAGACTGAGTTTGACGAAAGTGCCCTGATTCCTGTGGCTATGCATCTTATCCCCTTTGCATCTTCACAAACTTGAAATGCCTAATTAGAATACCAAATAATACAAATGAATTTTCCTTCCTTCCTTCCTTCCTTCCTTCCTTCCTTCCTTCCTTCCTTCCTTCCTTCCTCTAGTGCAACTAGCCTACAGCTCCCTGGCATTGCTTAGATATATAATACAGCAAAAATAATGCCTGCATCTGTATCTATTTGGAACAAATTAGCTTTTTTTAAATGTTAAATTTGGGCTGATTCTTTGTGGTTGGGAAAGATCTGTACGCTTTCTGTACAAAGCTCCTAAAAGAAATATTATCTCTAAATATTGTTTCTACTTTTCTCATAATAGACAGGTTATTTGATACTTATTGCCATTATGTTGATACTTCGCACGTATTGTGACATTTGGATGATTCAGAATGGTACAGTTATTGAGAGGTAAGGATCATTTATATATTCAGAATCAATTTCTTACCATCCTTCTTCTATGTTGTATCAGAAGCTAGTACTGTTATTTTTAGGAACATAGTTTGCGCACAAATGGATGATATTTGGCTTAAATGAGTAAATATGATGGTTTAATCCATGTGTAATACAACAACAATATTTCTTTCTATGAGAAGATGCCATGTTAAGCCACAGGTTCTTCTCTCCCCTTCTAAACTCTGTGGAAGCTGTCTGGAGAGGAAGCATCCACTTCCAGTTTGGCTCATAGACAACCAAAAACCATAGTTTAAATTAGTCTTCCCCAACTAGTGCCCTCCAGATGTGCAAAAATCATAGTTTAAACTACTATCTTCAACTGGTACTCCTAGATGTGTTGGGATTTCACTGTCAGAATTCCCTAGTTTCGTGACCATAGGTTATGTTGACTTTTAAAAGTTGGGATTTTTAAAAGTTGGGATTTCAACATATCTTGAGTGTGTCAGTAGTGTACTGACACACTACTAGTGCATGTACCTACTAGTTTATTTTACAGAAGGTAATACGTTATTCTTTATTCCTATGCCGTGTACAGTATAAATACATTGCAGTCTTGTGGGCACAAATGATATAACCTGTGTTCTTAAAAAGATGAATACTCTTGAAATATCAAAAGTTTTGCTCTAAGCTTCAAGATCCAATTTTAAACAAATCTTATGGAGAGATTTTTTTAAGCTTTCCATTTTGACATTCATTCAGTAATATTGTGTCCTATGAAACACATAATAGCTCTTCTTTTTGTCTTACATATTTTGGTGTCTGTTGAGAAGAGTTGTTTATTAGACATCTCTGGTAATAACTGTCCATTAGTTTTGTACAATAAAAGTATATAATGGTTACTCTGCATAGTCAGAAGAAAAAAATATTAAATTCTGTACATTTTTTTTTCTTACAGTGCAATCGTAAGCAGGGATCTGTCGCTATTCAAGAAATTCTTTATTAAATTTGTAGTTTCCATTCCACTGGTAAACAGACATAAATATTAGCATGCATCTACAATGTTTATGCTCATAACTGATGCATAAATGAAACAATTGCTTTTTATTTCCAGTGGTTTATGACTTCGGAGATTTAGTTTGAACAATATCAGCTAAATTGTATACTGTATAGTCTTTCTGAAGCTTTGTTAATTGCTTCAAAATTTGTATTCTTACAAATTGTATAGTATGGTGTTGGTGACTTTCACTGTTGCTTTCTGCTGCTCCAAAGAAAACCATTTAGTAGGTTAAAGTAAACAGTCCCAACTGCTGCCACTACCACCACCATCACCACCTTGAAACTTGTCCTAGATTGCTCTCAATCTAATTCCTAGTAGGTGTACTGGAACTGCAGTTCTCAGCTTTAGCTGTGCTGGCTGTGAATTCTAGAACTTGCAGGACCAGCACGTTGAGGAAGATCACGGATCATTGGATGATCATAAACTCATTTCTTCCTGCTATGTTTCTAAACCATTGCCATTATTCTTTCTACTGAATTCTTCACCTTCCTGAATATCATTTTTTTTCTTCCTTGTCCTATTCTTGTTTTTTCTCTCTATATTTTTATGCTGGCTTTTATTCAATTTGAATCCTATTTATTAAAATATTTGCATTTGCTGGCTGTAATGATAGGGGAGTTGTTTAGTTTTGTTTTACAAAGAGCACAGAACTGCCTTTTATAGTGGCAGGTCCTGCTTCCTCCTATAGAATACCTAACTTACCCCATGTCCTGATGCCAGCAGAAATGGGGAAAATACATATCTTAGTGACATCACGATGCAAGTGTGAGTTAACTAGGCATTATGGAGGTGTAGAATTTAACACTAGGCTTGTTTGGTGATAGCTTTCTTTGTAACATGTGGTGCCTTCCAAGGAGATGAGCAATGGTATCTGGAAGTTTAGAACCACCACATGTTAATAGCCTGTATAATTAGTTCCATTAATGCCAGAGTTCAAAGGGAGGTGATGGGTTTCACTGAATCAGCTGTCGCTTTGTCAACAGATGTGGGAGCACATCTGAACCGTTTATATGGTGTAAATAGTCTCGCTGCTGCTTTTGTTGATTTTCTTTTGTGTTCGTTTTCATGGCTTTCCACTTGTACTTGTGGAAACATTGTGGGATGGGTCTTGCTTCTGCCACTAACATTTTGCATGTGGTGGTTTGCAGTGCTATCATTGGCCGCAGTAGAAAAGATTTCAAGAGGTACTTGTTCAACTTCATCGCTGCCATGCCTGCAGTAAGTGGTGCTTTTTGTTGTTGACATCCCTTTGGTAAAACAAATAGGTATTCGGTCACAACTTTTCAAATAACATTTGGCCACTTTGTACTCCTGTGAAATTTCTTTCCCTGAAGGAGTTTGTTGTTTTGTTGTATTTCATTTTTTTCCTACTCTAATTATGTGTCTGGGTTAAAGTTAAATATTGTAGTGATCTCCAGAAGTTACGGACTGCAACATTATCAGGCTAAGCCGGTATGACCAATAGCACAATGCTGTGAAAACTGTCATCCAAACTATTTGAAGAGCTCCAAGTTGCCTACCCTTGATCTCAGGGTGTTAATTTGAAAGATTCATTTAATATCAGTGGGGACCGGTACAATGAAACAGGAGGGATGAAATATTCTATATCCAGAAACTACCAGCATAGTGAAAGTTCTTATTTAATAGTACAAAAAATATTTAAAAGTTGATGTAACAGTGAAATGGATTTGATTTGTGATAGAACCGAATGTGCTAAGTAGGAAATTAAGCTTGGTGGTGTAAATGACTGCCTGATACCCTTTCTAAAATTCAGAAGTATCTGGGTTCAAAATTGGCACTTTGCAAATTCTTTCCTTCCCTGGTGAAGGAATATGACATGACAAAAGTGATTCCCCAATCCAAGCTTCTTCTTCTTTTTATACTAATTTTATTAAAAATTACAATTGCAATGATAAAAAAACTAATACAAACTAAAAAAAGAAAAGAATAAAAAGAAAAAATAGAAGGAGCAGAAAAGAAAAAGAAAATAGAAAAAATAGAAAAGAAAGAGAAAGGAAATATATAAAGAAATAACTTCTCCCTTCATCATCACAAGTATACTCAATTTTAGTAACTTATCACCTTCTCTTAAAATACAACAAATGATCTTTTCTCCCCATACCCCATCTCTTATCTATAAACAAATCTTTAAAACCTCATCATCTCAGTCCTTATCAGCAAAAGTCCATTAAGGGATACTGACATATCTATTTTAACCTTGATCAAATAAACCAACTTTATATTCCTTTCTTTTACTTTTAACAATCTTGATCTTTAGTCCCTTTAAATAATGTCCTAGAACTTGATTTCTTTTTATTTTGTCTTTGTCTTTTCTCACAAAATTCTTCAAAGCTTAACAGGTATCTTTTGTAAATCCAGTATAGGAAAATTATCCATGTCACTCTCTTGATTTGTTATTTGTATATCCCTTTTAATTGTTAAGACATCAGCCAGTTTCTTTTGTATGTCCATTGTAGCATCCATATCATTCTTGTAGCCTGTCAGTTTTAAATCCACTTTCAGATCAGTCTCAGTCTTGTCCAGTAAAACTTGTTCCTGTTCCATAACATATTTTAAACACAGTCTATTTCTTGTAGCCTGTCAGTTTTAAATCCACTTTCAGATCAGTCTCAGTCTTGTCCAGTAAAACTTGTTCCTGTTCCATAACATATTTTAAACACAGTCTATCTATAGAAGCAGACACTCTTAAAATTAACTTCTGGGTCCATTGTTTGAAAATATTCTTCAATATGTCCAGTGTCAAAATATTTTGCTTCATTCAGTATTAGAAAGTGAAATTTAAGTGTTTTTTAATTGTAATCGTTAGCTCCTTCTAGTTCCCTCTAGTGTCCAACCTTCAAAGTCCCATCCTATTATGTTTTTTCTAAAAGAATTCAAAACAAAAGCATTAAGTCCTTAAACTTGTATTTAAAACTTCTTTCGCTAAGGATTGAAGGGAACTCACCCAGGGTTTTCAGACTTGTTGATCCAAAGGTTCCTAATAGCTGAAAAGCAGTTAACATGCAATTTCTGAAAATGATTAGAAAAGGAAGTATGCAAACTCAGTGCCAACTGGGTTTGAGCAAACAAGCCAGTTTGGTCTAGTGGTTAAGGCACCAGGCTAGAAATCAGGAGGCTGTGAGTTCTAGTCCCACCTTAGGCATGAAAGCCAGCTGGGTGACTTCGGGCCAGTCATTCTCTCTCAACCCAACTCACCTCAGAGGGTGGTTGTTGTGGGGAAAGTAGGAGGAGGAAGGAGTATTAGGTATGTTCGCCATCTTGAATTATTTATAAAATAATAAAGGGATGAAAAAAATCTTTTAAAAAAAGATGGCTATACCTTCATCTCCCAGAGAGCTCTAAACTGGCCAGAGACTGCTGTCTTGCAGTCTCTTGCGAGGAACAACTGTCTAGAGCACTTGAGGGTGATCTCAAGTCCCCTCCTTTCCAGAGAGGAGTTACAAAGAGCCAGTCTACTTGCCAGCTCTTCATTCCACTGTGGTTGTTGTTTCGGTTTTTGTGGAGCCATCTTCAGTTTGCCATTTTGTCCCCGGAAATCCCTGTGCTCCTCCTGTATATGCAAAATTTTATCCAAATCTTTATGTAAGACATTTCCCAAAATAATTTTATGGCCTACAATAATTCTATGCATTAGCACTGGGGCAAGCATTCTGAGGTCACAGGGCCTTAAATGGACCCAACCTCTCCCCCTAGTTTTTCAAAGCAGTTCCCATTACAATTGCTGAAAATCAGAGAGAAGTTTTTCCCTCATTTAAAAAACTAGTTATTTATTCTATTGGTATATTGCCAAATCAAAAAGACTCACAACGGTCTATAGCAGTGTTTCTCAACCCCAGCAGCTTTAGGATGTGTGGACTTCAACTCCCAGAATTCCTCAACCAGCATGCTGGCCAGGGAATTCTGGGGGTTGGTCCACACATCTTAAAGTTGCTGAGATTGAGAACACTGGTCTATAGCAATCCAGTAAAATACACAGCCAAATAAAATCATCCACAGTAAACATCATTACAATAAAAGTTGTAAACATTATAAAATAATAATAATAACAACAATAAAATAAAATAAAATAAAAAATAGCACAACCAGACACAACTGAAATATAAGACAAAAATGGAACACAGCAGTTATATGGAATTGAAATAGTTTAAGCAGTCGCTGAACATTTTGGGGAAGAGTTCTATCTTAAGCAGCACCCAGAATGTTAAGAGGGATGGTATCAGTCTTAATTCCAAGGGAAGACTGTTCCATAAGGCCAGAGAAATAGGACCTCTTGACCTATATTCCCCTTAACTCATAAAAGTGGGGTATATGCAGAAGCTTCTTCCAGGGAGAACATACCAAATGGGCCAGTTCAGGTAGGCGAAAGCCATCCTGTAGATACCTGAGTAATAAGCTATATAGGACTTTATAGCTTTGTTTGTGTAGGAAAACCAGCAGAATAAGCCCTAACATCGAAGTGGGGGAAAAAAATGAAAATCTTTCCAAACCAAAGAAAGAATTAGAAGGTCCTGATCCGTACATACGTGTGAGACAGCCCCATCCATCACTGTTGGTTTCTGTTTCCTTTGTGGTAGCAATATATGGTTCCCTACAAATAAAAGATTGCTAATCTCTGCTATACCATAACCTAACTCACCAACATGTTGTAACTGGTACAGTCCCCAGTATATTGTGATACTGCACTGTGAGAAACCTGTCACCATCTGGTAAAACAGTTCACAGAGCAGCAAGCACTGTTACACTTCAGGCTTCCTCTTGGTTCTTTGTATCTAAGCATGTGTTCCTTCATGAAGTTCTAAAAAACTGATTAATAGCACAATCCTATGCAAGCTTACATTGTGTTCAGTTTATTGGGGCTTATTCCCAAATAAACATTTATAGGATTGCAGATGAACTTTTTGTGGGTTATAGTCTTAAACTGGATTTTAGTTTGCCATCTGTTGTGATCTAAGGTGGTGGTGGGTTTTAAGAAGATTAGATTATGTGCTCTTATTAATACGTTCTTGTTTGTAGATTTCCCTAGTGAATAACTTCTTGAAATATGGGCTAAATGAGCTTAAATTATGTTTCCGTGTGCGACTTACCAAGTATCTTTATGAGCAGTATCTACAGTAAGTGGTTTTTTTTTTAGTTTTTAACATGAAATTCAATTAAAATTAAATAAATTGTAATCCTTTAAAGTTCATATACATTTTAATGTCATTAATAATTCAGTAAAAGTGCTGTGTTAATTACGGATTCCTGATATTTTAGGAGTTACACGTACTACAAAATGGGCAATCTAGACAACAGAATCGGTAATCCTGATCAGCTACTTACACAAGACGTCGAAAAATTTTGTAACAGCGTAGTAGACCTATATTCAAACCTCAGCAAGGTACGGGTGAAGAAAAAGTGATTGTGTTGTCATCTGCATGGCTAAATATTGCTTAAATATTAGCAGTTTTAATATAATGAATGCCATGAAATAAAAGTTATAGCAATTCTGCAATTAAATTCAGGAGATGAATTGAGTTAGGCACATCTACCTAATTGTAGGCAGCTATTATAAACGTGTTTGGTGTTTCCCAGTGGCATGCACCTGAAGTTATTTTAATTAAAGTGTTGCTTCATTTGACATGCAATATCAAATTTGTAATTTGTATCTTTTCTTGGTCAAGCTACATTCAGAGCTTGATTTTTTTTAATATATTTGTTTCATTCTCAGCATGAAACTGCTGGAAAACTGCTGAAAACTGGAAGACTGCTGAATTAGATATAAGATTTGTTCTTGCTTTTAAATAACTGTTGAACAGTAGAGAAAACAAAAATTCACGAGACACTGTGATTTATACTGTAGAGATTTTTTAAATGCTGGTCTTTACTTTTTAAATTGAATCAGAATGTTTGTATAACCCTTGAAAGACTACATTATAATGAGACATTTATTTAAAGAACCTGACATTTTTTTTAAAAAAGTATGCTTTTAAATGCTTTCTCCCATGGCTAATATTTACAATTAAATCTTATTTTGCAGCCATTTTTGGACATCGTTCTATATATCTTCAAACTAACAAGTGCAATAGGAGCACAGGTGAAATTGTATTTTTATTTATGCGCTTTGAATATGAGTTACATACTCTCCAGTAGGAGAAATGAATTATTTGAAGATTTTTTATAGATGTAATACTGAGAAATATTTGGAACTAAAAACTACAAGAAATTTAGAAATTTTCAACCATTTCATTACAATCTGTCAAAATAAATGTGTGCTACAAACTCTATAAACAGATGATAAATATAATGTGAGATATTCTTTTAACAATGTCTTGATGGTGTGGTATGCAGAAAGATAAGAGCATTTTGGACTTTTTTAGAATTTCACATAGATTAAGATTCTTGTAGAGAGCCAGTTTGGTGTAGTGGTTAAGGCACCAGGCCAGAAACCGGGAGACAGTGAGTTCTAGTCCCGCCTTAGGCACGAAGCCAGCTGGGTGACCTCGGGCCAGTCACTCTCTCTTAGCCCTAGGAAGGAGGCAGTGGCAAACCACTTCTGAAATCTTGCCAAGAAAACTGCAGGGACTTGCCCAGGCAATCTCCAGGAACTCATGATGACTCAGAGGCATATAATCTTTCAGAAGAGATTTGCATCATAGATGAACCCTTGATTTATACAATGCCATACACGTATTTACTCAGAAGCAAATTTTATTAAGTGTTATTTGGAAGTTGCATTTTTTTTAAAAAATCATTAAATGTTATTTAATATCAGAATTGTCAGGTCTTATTTTAAGGTTGATTACCTTTTTCTGTAGTTAGAATTAACTTCTATCCTGTATTCAGATGATACTTTTCCCTGTAGCCAGCCCCTGCATGGGTGTTTTGCTAGCTGCACCCTTTTTGAAAAAGAAAATAGATTGTTAATAGATTTGTTCTGGAAGTTGTATCTTATTTTCTTCTTCGATATTTTCAGGGCCCTGTTTCTATGATGGCCTACCTGATTTTTTCAGGCTTTTTCCTTACACGCTTAAGAAGACCTATTGGTAAAATGACTATTACAGAACAAAAATATGAAGGAGAGTATAGATATGTCAATTCACGGCTCATTACAAACAGGTATGAGATGGTTTCAGGACGAACTGTTGTTCATTGGGCCAAATATTGCAAGAGAAATCAGGTCCTTTATGTCATTTATTTTAAAAACCTTTGAAAAGGTTTCGTGTTAAACCTCTATATCGGTGGGCAAAGAATGAAAAAAACAATCTTAGTCTGAAAACTGGATGAATAGGATATGTATGTACATTTGATTTGTCTTAATTTGTTTTAATTTAATGTAATTTGTTTTAGGAAGTACATCCCCAAATAGTTGGATGCTGTGTACCCATTTTTATTAAAAAATAAATAAAAAGGAGGTTGTTAATAGCTTAATGTGAGCTGCGGTCAGAAAACACTGAAAATCAGGACTAGTTGTTGGTAATTCTATTAATTACCAACTAAAATTAACTAAAATTTTAAAAATGTACACATTGTGAGTTACCTTGTTTGAACATTTAAACAAAAACCTTTTGCTAATTTTGATGTGGCAGCAAACTCGTCTTTGGTAGTTGCAAAATCACGTTTTAGTCATTTCAAGGTCTGGCCCAGACATGTGGGAGAACGAGAGTCATGCCATGCTGGAACAGCCTGTGTGACTCTGTGCTGCAGGGCAGGATTAAACATGCATAGTAAGCAAGGAAAAAGATTGAGGGAGTATTTAAAATTGTGACTGCCAACCTGCTGTCTGAAATGGTAGGTACTCATTCTCCTGCTGTGTAGCTTGATCATACTTGTGAATATATGTTGATTAGACTTTTTTTTCCCCCTATAGCGAGGAAATTGCTTTTTATCATGGGAATCAAAGGGAAAAACAGACAATTCACAAAACTTTCCACAAACTGGTAAGTTAAATCAAACCATTCTGTAATGTAAATAATCTATAACATTTGGAGCAATGTTCCTAGAGATTTATGAAAGGCTTTCTGTGCTGGAGGGATATCTGAACGAGATGACCACTCAATGAAAATAAAAGCAATCAGCGAAAGAAACTATATCTTTCCTGCAAGCAATGCCTAAGGACTATATGGAATATACTGTCAAATGATGTAGTTAAAAAGGAGGGGACATATAGTGCTTTGAACTTTCCTATAATCTGGCCCTTTGAATGTTTTAGTGATAGTGAGGATTTTTTCTCCCTAGATTCGACTATATCCACCCTCCAAAAATCTTGTCAGGGCATTTTCTTCCTCTTACTGTCTCCTTCCCCCCTCAGCCTTTACATCTTCCATTTTTCCTTAACTTTAAAGGCTTAAAACTGCCTTTAGACCCAGGTCTTCACTTCAGACCCAGTGACTTTGTCGATTCTGGGTGCAGAATTTTTTTTAAAAATGTATTTGACTTTTACAAGTGCCATCTATTGTCCTGTCTTTTTTTTCCAACATTAATTTATTTTTTAGTTTCCCATTTTGCATTATAAATATAATTTCACTCTTTCTTTCAGTAGCTGTGCTTTAGTTGTGAGTAGGTTGAAGCCCTAATTGACATGTAAAAGCAAATATTAACTATTAATGCTTGATAAATTTAATGTAGAAACTTTAAAAGGCAAAAGCCTATTTTGCATAGTAGACTTTTGCCTCTGAAAATTCATACCACAATTCACATCTAACTTCTAACGTGCTACAAGTTTCCTTGATTGATATGACATTCCAAGAGATAGAATTTACCCATCTTTACCCATTTGCATATTTTATTCTTGGGAGTCATCAACATAACACATCCACACATTGGATGAAGTTTCTATTATTATTTTATTTAAAACATACATGCATGCATATGTATTTCAAAATTGCTCTGCATTTTCTATGCCACTTTTAATCTTAACTGTTCCTTGATCTCTTTGACTACATTCTTTGCAGCTGTTTTTTCTCTCTCTACATACAATATATTTTTTTCTGGTCCTCATTTAATACAGCTGTTGTTCTCTTATAACGATTTTTTTTTCTTATCCACAGCATTTTTCACCAATATTCCACTAAGCATTCTTTCTCATACTTTTTGTTAGGACATCTTCCTATGGTACTTTGTAGCATAAATCTTTTCACTCTTTTCCAAGCAATTTTTACATTCTTTTTCCACTTTCTATTCATCTAGCTGGGAGATTAATGTATCTTCTAAAACCTTTTCATGTGGGATTTATGCTTTATCTTCCTGCACTATTCTCTCTTTTGCTTCTTCTATACTTTTTTCCCCAAGTCCCACTTGACTTACCAAGAAATGGTCTACTTGACATTCAGAACTTCTCATTCTTTCCTAATTCTGTCAATCTTTCATCATAAAAATCATAAACCATCAGTCATGCTTTTAGATCTATATTCATTCTTTTTTAATGTGTAGGTATGAATAGATTTTAAACCACTCCTTTGAAACAGACTGTTTTTAAATAGATGCTCACCAAATGGTAACTATTCTCATTCATTTTTCAGTCTCCAAATGGCTGAATCCTTTTTTCCTCTGATCTCATTTCAACTCATCCATTTTTGTTGCCTAACAGAATAATTTCCCACTATTACATTCTTTCAGAATCTTGTACAGTTTTGTCCAAAATTAATAATCGTTTCTGTTTTCACTCTGTATTTAATGTTTAATGACACCAGTTCATACTTCTACATACATTTTAGCCCTTTTATTCATAATTAAACATACACTTTCAATTCCCTTCATGTATTCATGTATTATCAACTATTCTACAAAGCCAGTCCACTTTCATTCAGATCTATTACATCCTTCTCCTTTCTCTTAGTTTTACAGGCATATAACATATCTGGTTTTTGTTCTTTAACCTCTTTGATTGATTGATTGATTGATTGATTGATTGAATATATGCCATCAAGTTGGTGTCAACTCTTAGTGACCAAACAGATAGATTTTCTCCATGATGATCTGTCCTTCACCTGATCTTTCAGGTCTTCTAACTCTGCACC